CTCAAGGAGTGAGCTACATATAAAAAGCAATGGGCAAGTTCGAGTTCCAATATTCAGACTGTCATCAGAAAAAAGTCTGCGTTGTTCAACTGGGTGGTTTCAGAAGTAAAATTACCTGATGAGTATGTTTCAAATCTCTCAAGATGTGTTGAGAAAGGACAAAAGTTCTCCGAGATGAAGAGCCATGATTGTCATGTCTTTATGCAGCGACTACTTCCCTTTGCATTTGCAGAGCTACTACCGGCAAAAGTACATAAAGCACATTCAGATAATTAATTAATATAATACGATGATATGATTAATTTATTGCTATATATATATATACTAATGTGGATAATTTTTTTTTGTAATATATAAGGAATTGGAGCACTTTTTAGGGATCTGAACACCCGCACTCTTAAAGTGGAAGTTGTCCAACAACTTCTAGATTAAGGAATTTAGATTAGGTGGTTAGTTTAGGGAATTTATATTAGGTGGTTAGTTTATGTAATTTACATTAGGTTGGTTTACTTTTTTAACTGTTTTTTTAAATTATACGAGAATTAATGTTTTGATTTTTTTTAAAAAAATTAGATGCCTAGACAGAGCAAGCTTGCTAAGGCTAAGAGGCCTCTTCAGGGGAGTCACTATGGAGATCTTTTTGGTCGTCACCAAGGCGCGTCATCTTCGTCTGCTCCCAATTCTTCTATTCCGGATCATGACGCTGTTCCCGAGACTCAGGGAGTTTCTACGGCGTCCCGGTCTGACCAACCTCCTCCTCCTCCACCTCCTCCCCCTCCTCCTCCTCCCGGCGCCGGGGTTCACCCGATTTGCAGGTGCCACCAAACGCACCATTTGCGGTGTACACACTGGAGGATATTATGGTCCTTCTAGGCAGAGAAGGACTGCCTGAGTTAGATCCTATCCGACGGGACGACCACAACATATTATGGTATGTTTTAGTTTTTAATTTATTTCTTAATTAACAAATATTTACAAATTAATCTAATTAATGTTTTATTTTGTGTCTTTCCAGGTTTGGTCTTGACGGATGTGTCGCTCAGAGCCTCACGGATTGTATCAAAGGATACTTTCCCCATGCAGCTCCAAACTGGAAGAAGACGCCCAGCCACACAAAAAGACGTGGTTCAAATCGTTCGCTGTAAGTTTAATTAATCAACTTAATTTATTTTTAATATTTAAAATTATTAATATTATTGAACTAATCCGTCTTTTATTTTTTCTGGTTACAGCAAAAATATCGTTGGTCTATAGGGATTCACCAGTGGGTGAAGACGGAGTTTGAGGCAAAGGCAAGAGCACGATTGCTCGACATGTTCTACAACTGGAAGGGCGACTTTCAGGTGTGGATTTATAAATTATATATATAGTTTTAAATCATTTATTGACTTTAATTCTAATTATTTTGTGTTCAGGTGGATGGTTACGAGGACGGGAAACCCGATTGCCTCACATTCGACGTGTGGGATGGCCTCATCAGATATCGGGGTTGCCGGACTCGGTCAGAACCTCCCACACAAACTCCGAGAACCGCATGACAAGAGACGAGGATGGCAACACGAAGATGCTTCACACCACGGGTCGAAAACCTCACGGGGGAGTTCGTCTAGACATGGTAAGATGATTTTTAATAATTATTTAATTTTTACTCTATTTGAATATTTCAAATTAATATTTAATTTTAAAAATTATTTTTTAGGCTAAAGAGACATGAGTTCTTCCATCTCTGAAAGACCTTTACGAGAGGACCCACCGGAACAAGGCTAGACAGTTTGTAGATCCTAGATTCGAGCGGATCTACAACGAGGTTGTTTCCCGGGTTGACGAACGCCAGACACAGCTGACTGGGACACCAGTCATATTATCCACTCTTGAAGTGGATAAGATTTACGAGGAGGTAAATAATTTGTTTTTCTATTAATTTTTATTGTTTATTTAATTTTTTTAAACGTTATTAATCTTTTTATTTACAGGTCGCCCCTAGGAAAAAGAGGCGTATCATCGGGATTGGCTCCGTTAACGATGTCCCCACGGTGACATCATCTTATGCTCAGGAACAGCACGATGTCAATGCTTAGCTGTGCTCGGAGTTGCAGGCGACGCAATCTCATGTGAGTTCACTCACCGATCATGTGAGTTCTCTCACCGATGTGCTGGACATTTTGGCGGTTGGAAATCCGCAATTGGCGGAGATGTTGCGTGTGAGACAGGAAAGCGGAGGACTTCCAACCCAACAGCATCCACCGTCACAGTCACAGCCGACAAAACCAACCTTGCCGAGGAGGAGTTGGCGAGACGGGACGGGATGACTTCGTTTGGCAATTTAACGACCAACATCCATAGTTTTTTATTGTATATTATGAATTTTAAAACTTAATTATATATTATTTAGTTATTTATCAAATATTTAGTTATTTCTTTTTTATTTATAATTTGATTTTTTAATTTTTTAAAATATATTATTTATATTTATAATTAATATTTTTTAATAGGGAAAAAAGGTTTCAAAGTAAAGTCCTCGTAAACTTTCGAAGTAATTTCCTCATAAAGTATTACGACGAGCTTACGAGAAATATGTTACTATGACTTTACGAGGAATCCTGTACGAGGACCTTACGAGGAAAAACGTATCCACGCGTTTACGAGGAAAAGTTTCCTCGTAAATTAGCTAAGACCTTACGAGGAAAAAGGCTTTACGATGAACGTGTTTCGACGAAACGCGTTTCCTCGTAAGTTCCTAGTAAATGGTCATTTACTAGGAAATAACGAGGAAAACTCGTTCTAGTAAAGGACGAGTTTTCTTGTAGTGTTAAATTATAATTATAATTAAAATGCAAATCGAAATAATATGAAATTAAATTTTTTTAAAATAATAGTTTATACATCAGTAACAATAGCGAAACAAACATCATAACAATATTTGGCTTGGCAATCTATTGTTGGCGATTATGAAATGTATAACAAAAAATATTGTTGTTTGTTATTGTTTATTGACTGTTAACCACTACCAAAAGACCATGGTTTAAGTCACCTTTTTATTTAAAATTATTTTCATGAAACAGAAAATGCTATTCAGCTATAAAAATCGAGATACAAATGAGTTATTTTACTATAATATAAAAAATGTATATTTGTTTATTAATAAAAATGAGTAACAAATCAAACGACGTTAATCTTCTCTATTAAAAGAGAAGTACCAAATTTATCTACTATTTAAAAGTCATGTTAGACCATGTCATTAATTATTTAATAAGACATATTAATATGACATATTAGATTGTTACATTAACCAACCAATCAAATATATATTATTTTAAAAATATCTTAATAATTAATAAGGATATTAATAATAAATCAATTTAAATATAACAAAATCTTTTGAAAAAATCTAACAAGATCTTACCAAAAAATTTAAATATTTTTTTTATAAAGTAAGTATTTTTATATTTGTTATTAGATATGATTATAAATTAATTTTTATTAAAACTAAAATATAAATCATATATTTAAAAAAATTAATTATATATTTATAAAATAAAAATATACCCGCACGGATGTGCGGGTGAAAATCTAGTTAGTTACTTATAGTTTAATACTTGATATTTATTTTGTGCTTGTGAATAATTTAAATAGACTATTTGACTCTCAACTTGGTCAAACTAAATACTCGAATACCAATCAAGTAGTGAGTATGAATAAAATAACGAGTACAATGAGTAACATGTATCCACCTCTGAGTAACCATTTCATGACAAAGCTACTCTAAATGTTCTTCTAGAAGCTCTACATTTCTCTTGAACAGATGTTTTGATCAAATTCACCGGTTTCAGCCAGTTTCATTTCTAAAATAAAAAATTATCAATGACAATTGAATATTTTTTTTTAATTCATTAAAGGTATTTTTAATAGAGAATTAACATGAACGCTATAAGAAATTAAATTATCAAATAATATTATAAAGACAGATTTTTATACTGACAAAAAGAAATATACGTTCAAAAAATGGTAATCAATTTCATATCTTAAAATATAGTAATAATCTTCCTATTAATATAATAGAAGGTAATACTCAAACAATATTTCTTTTTTTTCAAAATTTTATTTTAATACTATGATGCTTTTTGCCATTTTTAAATACCATTATAAGTTGAACAAAAAAAATACCATTATAAGTAATCAATTCAAAAATATTTATTTAAAAATATGGACCAGAAAATGATCATAAATTTTACAAAAATATGATGATACATTTTTTTACAACCATCATGCTGATTTTTTTTTAATCGACTATTTCTAGAAATTAAAAAAAAAACACAATATTTTTTTTTTTGCATTTTGCGTTTGCGGGTATATAGTTTGTTTCTTTAAAAATATCAAATACAAAATATTGAAAACATTATAATGAAAACAACATTTTGCATGGTTTAACAAATCTGTTAGAGCAGGTTGCGCTTAGCCTCCCAATATTTCAGAACAAAACAAATAACCACCGTATTAATTTTTGTTGCTCTCTCATAATTCTGTATGTTTCCTACACAAATCTTAATCAGGATATTACTGTACAGTATTATTAAAACTAAACTAAAAAAAAAAACAATTCTGTCCGACAAGTATTCCCTTGTTTATATATATTGTTAAAGAAAAAAAAAACAATTTTCTTGTCTAGAGGAAACACACACACAAAAAGGGGATGACAAATATGTCACAGATCTCCATTTCCTCTCGCCCCTCCTTCTAATCCATTTTCAATTTCTCTGCGATTAGTTTTATTTCTAATCGGATTAGGGTTTTCAAGTTCTCCTTCGATGAACTGTCTTTAGGTTCCGGGTTGATTGATTTCATCGTCGGGTTTTGATTATTGAAGAGGTTGATTGGCGAATTAACTTCTGGAATTTGGATTATGATGTTCAATTGTAATTATACGATAATTGATCTCTGAAGGTTCTTCGATCCTAATCTCGTGAATCTGAGGATATATATTGATTGGGGGAAGAGAGGAGATGGATCTTGTGATCGGTGGGAGATTTAAGCTTGGAAGGAAAATTGGTAGTGGATCTTTTGGAGAGCTTTATTTAGGTAAAGGAGGAGGAATAATAATCCCTATGATTTTCTTCATGAGTTTTAGTTGTTTATTTTATTTTTATTTTTGCAGGTGTAAATGTCCAAACAGGAGAAGAGGTTGCTGTCAAGCTGGTAAATTTTTAAATCCTTAATTGTAAAGAGATTGCTTTCATGTGATGTTATTTTGTAAAATTCTCTCTTCACATGAAGAAGATGATGAGAAGTTGCTTTCTTGTTTTGTTTCACTTGGCCATTTAATTTGTTTTCTCTACTTTTTAATTTATCCGTCTGCTTTTTTGACACTTTCAGGAATCTGTGAAGACCAAGCATCCCCAACTTCATTATGAATCAAAGTTGTATATGCTGCTTCAAGGAGGAAGTAAGTCTCACTTTCACACTTTTGAGTCATATCATTTTTTGAGTTTCTCAAATTTGTGATGATAGGATCAAGTAGATATTTCTCTGCACATTATGCTGGTTGCATTACTATTTTGCACAAAACTAAAATATTTTTTTTTGTTTCTTTTCTCGCTGAAGCTGGTGTTCCGAATCTTAAATGGTTTGGAGTTGAAGGTGAATACAGCGTTATGGTTATTGACCTTCTAGGTCCTAGCCTTGAAGATTTGTTTAACTACTGCAACAGGAAGTTTACACTGAAAACTGTTCTCATGCTTGCCGACCAGTTAGTGAGTATATGTCTTTACTAATTGGTTTCCATCTCTTACTTTGCTCTGAACTTATGAGTTCGTTTGTAATGGAGGAGTATTGTTGTCTCTGTTTTGCGTTCCAGCTTAATAGGGTCGAATATATGCATTCTCGAGGTTTCCTTCACCGTGATATAAAGCCTGACAACTTTTTAATGGGCCTTGGACGCAAAGCAAATCAGGTGCTAACATCTATCTTGTGCTAAAATTTAAATTTGATGGGGGGTTTCTGCTTTAACCTTAAGAGATAACATTTATTTTATTTCAGGTGTATATCATTGATTTTGGATTAGGGAAGAAATACAGAGACCTTCAGACTCACAAGCACATTCCTTACAGGTAAAGACTATGCCATGATCTCTCGTTTCCTCTTTCCTCACTCAAGGATCCGCTGCTTTCTTTTGCATCTTGATTTCTGTGAACTCAAAAGGAAATATCAATTTTTGTCACAGAGAAAACAAAAATCTCACAGGGACAGCTCGGTATGCGAGTGTCAATACTCACCTTGGAGTCGGTAAGATTGCTGTCCTATGGTGTGTACATACGTTGTAAAATTTGTGTATATTTTTTTCCGAAACTCAAGTATATTTGCTGGTGTTTGAACAGAACAAAGTCGAAGGGATGATTTGGAATCACTTGGTTATGTGCTTATGTATTTTCTCAAAGGAAGGTAACAGTTTCCGCGCAATTTTTTTTACTTTCTGTATATATTTTCTTGTACAAAATTGTAAACTCTTTTTGTTTTGGTATCAGCTTGCCATGGCAGGGATTAAAAGCTGGGACCAAAAAGCAGAAATATGACAGAATCAGTGAGAAGAAAGTATCAACTCCTATAGAGGTAGAATAACTCGAAAACCCGAAAAGTGTTGGTTAATAATCTACCTCCCATTTTCTGGCTGAGCTTAGGATTATGTTAATGGCGGATTGTTTTGATGTAGGTGTTGTGTCGACATCATCCGTCTGAATTTGTTTCATACTTCCATTACTGCCGATCTTTACGTTTTGATGATAAACCTGATTACTCTTACCTTAAGAGACTTTTCCGCGACTTGTTCATCCGAGAAGGTTCTTTTCTTATCTTAAACATTACTTTTTGCGACACACTGCTGTTCCCATCTCAATTGTTGAAACTCTTGCAGGTTATCAATTTGATTATGTGTTTGACTGGACAGTCCTAAAGTATCCTCAAACCAGTTCCAGCTCTGGTTCTAGCTCACGAACAAGGGTGACTTTCTTTCTTTTTTCTTGTGGCTTTTGAGTTTCTCTATGCTTACGTGAAATGTTTAATCTTTGGTTTTGCAGAATCATACAACCACAAAACCAGGAGTTAACGCAGGTCCTTCAATGGATAGACAAGACAGAAACGCAGGTTAAATTCCGCTCCTCCTGCTTCTGTTGAAAATCTGATAACCACACTAACTTTCAACTCTTTATACCGTTTTGTTTAGGTAAGGAAACAACCAGAATCTCAGGTGCAGTTGAAGCCTTCTCCAGAAGGCATCCAACAAACTCTTCGACGCGTGATCGTCCCAGGTCAAGAAACTCTGACGACGGACCTTTCACTAAGCACCTAGTAAAAGTATGCTACTTCACCAAGAAAAGCACATGTTTATCAAAAGCTGTAATTAGATAAAGACGCAATTGTCTTTTTGTGTGTTTGGCAGCGTGGAGACTCTGAAAGACCAAGCAGTTCTTCAAGAAACAGAACATCTACTTCTAGGAGAGCCATTCCTGCTTCAAGCTCTCGGCCAAGTTCTGCAGGCGGACCAAGCGAAAGCCGAGCTTCAAGTCGCCTGGTTTCATCAAGCGGCAGTGGCAATGTCCGTCCCTCGACCAGTCAGAGAATCCAAGCTGGATATGAATCCAAGACTGTGTCTTTCTCTCGTGCAACCGCTTCTTCTAGAAACGCTCGTGAAGATCAGTTGAGAAGCTTTGAGCTTCTCCATCTTCGGAAATAAAAGTAAAACGAGAGAAGAAAGAGAGTCCATGAAAACCCAAACCAAAGTTTCCTACAGAGAATCATTTGGTTAGAAAGATTCCATATACATTACTTAAAAAGATCTTTACAGGTGATTTCTTCAGGTTCAGCTTGCAGAGATCTTTCTCCCACCACTTAATGGTTTGTATATGTAAATCGGTCATGTGTTGGAAAATGTACAAAGTTTCCATTGTAAAAGAGGTGAACTTGTATTCCTATATACCATTACTCCGGATCTATGTGTAATAAACTTTAAAAATAAAGTTGGCCTTTGGTCTCTTTTATTAATATAAACCAAAGAGGCGGCAACAATCATATTCTGTGGACAATGAGAGCTCTGTGTAGTGATGGCGACATACACGGATAAGATACAAGATTTAGGTGATTATTTTTAGTATTAATTATCATCTATACTATTATTTGCGAAGTGATTTTTCGCAACGGAACTCTCACGTTAAAAGTTAGAGTGGTTAATATTGATTATACCCTTAATGAAACTTTTATATATAACTAATTTAATAATTAAAAACGAAATTTAAAAAATAAAATTAGATTAGTATGTTATTATCTTAGATAACTGAGAATAATTAATATAATAAGTTTTAAAAAAAAATCAAAAATAAGATAATTCTTATATATGTTAGGAGTGGTTAATATCGATTATACCCTTAATGAAACTTTATATATAATTAATTTGATAATTAAAAACGAAATTTAGAAAATAAAATTAGATTAGTATGTTATTATCTAGATAACTGAGAATAATTAATATAATAAGTTTTTAAAAAAATCAAAAATAAGATAATTCTTATATATGTTAGGAGTGGTTAATATCGATTATACCCTTAATGAAACTTTATATATAATTAATTTGATAATTAAAAACGAAATTTAGAAAATAAAATTAGATTAGTATGTTATTATCTTAGATAACTGAGAATAATTAATATAATAAGTTTTTTAAAAAATCAAAAATAAAATAATTCTTATATATGTTAGGAGTGGTTAATATCGATTATACCCTTAATGAAACTTTTATATATAACTAATTTGATAATTAAAAACGAAATTTAAAAAATAAAATTAGATTAGTATGTTATTATCTTAGATAACTGAGAATAATTAATATAATAAGTTTTTTTAAAAAGCAAAAATAAGATAATTCTTTTATATGTTATTATCATCTGAATATATAATATTGTAACAACATGATAATGCTTATATATCTTAATTTTATATATAATTGATTTTGGCTTCTGAAAATAATATCATTCTATTATAAAATTTAAAAATTAAAATTTAAAAATGGATTTTATTTAAATATTAATCAAACAAAAACATTTGTAT